AAAAAAAAAGAGAAAAAAGAAAAAGAAAAAGATAACCCAACCTAGCCAACCGCCAAATGAGTTCAAATTTTCAATTTTAGAATTTAGTATTCCTAAATGAGCCGTCTTGAAATATATATTCAATTATGTATTTAATAATTCCCGCGTTTTTACATCTTATTGTTGTGTTTTGTAACGGTTTTTGCGAGACGTTTTTTCCAGTTTCCCACCACCCAGTCAACTCACACCATCAAGATTCACGATGTACAAGCTACGAATTACGAACGACTTGCGAGTACCGACGACTCGCCATGATATAACAAACTTGTTATATCATGCGACTCGCTTTCCAGCCTCTGGACATAGCACAACTGCACAACTTTCGTGAGATTTTTGTGAACTGTGCCCTGTTTACCATTGCCGTTTACGCCTTTTATTGTCGTTGTTTAAAACTTTGACCATAGTTCATACCGCCGACTCTGTTCGTACTGTCGCACGTCTTGCTAAAATTTTGAACATAGTTCATACCGCCGACTCAGTTCGTGCTATCGCACGTCGTTCTATAATATTATGTTATCATGGAACAATAATACTAAAATATGGTAAAATAATATTATACTGTATCTGAGAAACTTAGATCATATTATATGATCTAAGTTGAGAAATGAAAATTACAAATATACAGAACATTTTGTTTTTATCACCGAAAATTCTAATAGGTATACGGGGCTATATATACGTCCGTATACCCGCGTATCGCCGTTTACTTAGAGAGTATTCGCTAAAAAAAAACTAGAGAAGTGAGTATACGCCGTGTCGCCCCAACAGTGGCGGCGCGAACTTTTTCGACAGTGAGGCAAGAAAATGTTAGTTGCAGCACACACGACCCACCTTTTTATTATGCACAGAGCCCACCCACCACCCCTTTTAGCTGTGAGACATTTGTCTCACAAAAACCCTCTCGCGCTGCCACTGCCCCCCAATACACCACTGCGCCATTATCAGGCACATTTAATAAAGTCATGCATTCGATAATTGCATAATCATAATAATAAGAAAAAAATAATCATATAAATGTATATAAAAAGTTACTTTTAAATAATTAAAATTATTCATTGTGTTTAATTAAATAATTAATATTTTCTAAATAATCAATCCATTTTATCTGTGGATGATCGCTTATTGTCAGTGAATTTGTCACTCTCTCCTTAAGACAGCAAATTCTTTGTTCGAGCTTAACGTATTTATTGTAAATGGATTTAGCTTGTATTTCACGTTGGTGAAGTTTCATGTCATCTTCAATTTTGGCGTTTTCTTTTCGTTTTATATAATTTTATCGGGGATTTATCCAGCAATAACTTCAGAATTCAGACAGTATAGTACTAAGATCGTTAAAAATGATAAATATTTCACAGTGTCTATTTATCGCTTTACAAATCAGAAATTCACGACCATGTTTTAAAATAAAAATAATTTGAGAATGCATGCGGCGAAATGGGTTGACGGCAAAATGGGATTAATCTGACGGCGAAATGAAACGGGATACTACCTAATAATCGTATTATTCATACTGATTAGTATATTTACAAACGTACGGGTTGCATTTTTCATTTACGATATAATGAAAATAGTCGTAAACCAATAATGTATTTTTCTACGAATGTTTATATTTACTTACAAATAATACCTAGTTATT